ACTTCCGTCTCCGCAGCTCTGTCGCACAAACCAGTGCGCAGCATCCGTCGCAAACAGTGTTGCTGGAACCGCTCGAGATAACTCACATCTCAAGTTGTGCCACTGCTCCCGAGCAGTCGCAAAAACGTGTCCTCCTTTGTTATTCGCCTCTAAATCTTTGGATTTATTCTCATAGAGACCTACGTGCTATCATTCCATTTGGCTCCGCGAGCTCCTCCCACCACTGCCCATCTACTGGATCTATCATTCGCGGATCACCAGCAAACTGTGCTCCTGCAACTTCGAAGTTAACCTTATTTGAACCATAGCGGAGGATTTATTTTTTCTCTCGTCGCACAAAACTCTTGTGTTCTTATTTTAATGATCTTTTTGAGAGTCACCCGATCAGCTTACTACCATTCCTTCAAGTCGCTCTACAAAGCGATAGTCGTCAATTTGATCCGCTCTTGGAACAGCCACTGTCGTCATTAGACAGTATTTTCCAAGTCATCTTGCTTTGCCTCAATCCTACAGGTGCTTGACGCAGGTACCTACAATCGTAACCGCTTTATTGCGCTCCATCGGGATATTTCGAAATTGAGCAATAAAGCGGGGTTTGAAATTAACCGATATTGTCATTGAATTACTATGCAGTATATCACTTGCATTGTAATGTGGGATAAAATATGTACTTGTAACTAAAGCATACAAAAGTCGTTTATTCAGAAGAGCATGACGTTCAGTGTAAACAATATACCATAAAGCATCTTACATGGATAGCTATAAATTCTGACGCTACTGTATATTTTTGCAAAGAAGACAATCCAGCCTCAACGGGACATTATTTTGCGCCGCTACTCAAGTCCCTTTCGCAATGATTAACTCTAAGTTGGACAAGAAATCTTTGCCTATCCATTGCGAAAGTCCGTAGCTATACAGTTCATTCACAGTTATTTGCTCTTAAATGTGACACGCGCGGATTGCTGTTACTCACGGAGGCATACGGCACCTCATCCTCTGAGTCGCTGCCTTCTATCTGTTCTAGTCGGTTCTCCAAAATTTTACTGAAGATTTTATCTGCCACAGTTGTCAGATCTGAGGTACATTCCACATCATTGCCAATGGTGACGAACTATTCTGCATTGATGACTGGAATTGTGCAAGCGCTGATCTCTGCCCCAGCGATGACGGTGACATCAGAACTTGCACCGGATTCCAATTGTCTGAAGCCAACATGCGGAAAGCATGTTTTTTTATTGTTATACCGGTACCCTGTCTCCAACGTTTTGTAACGAACTGAATGCACAGAAGTCTTGGTGCTGACATGCACCTCCGACGACCCTAAGACCAACCTCTTTGATCTGTTATTCTTGCGTCCACGTAATTTTCCTTAGTGACCAGTTCCAAATCTTCGATTTTTCTGTCACGTGATTCATAGTTATGTTGTTAGTTTGCGAGTGAGCAGCTAACACGAAAAGGTTCCATCTCGCACTACCAGTCTTCTCATTGTCTTATTTAGAATGAGAAAGGGAATTCAATGCTTTAAATAACATGTTGTTTTCGATGTGATAAAGAATTCTGTCCACAATTTTCTTTCTGTAACGGATTTGCAGATTCATAATCACACCTAAGTCCATGGGTTGAAGAACGCTAGTCGTGTTTGCCAGCAACAATTTCATTTGTATGTTTTTCAGGCATTCTGCCTGTGGGGGCGCTGTACAATTATCCAAGAGCAACATAATGTTTTGGTTAGTTTGGCATAACTCTTGTCCCATTCGAGGACTAGCGCGCTGCAAAGTTTTTTTGTTATCCACACATTTTTCTTAGCTCTGTAACTTACAGGAAGTGTGTCCAAGCTCACACCATTACAATTCGTGGTTTCTTACTTTTCCCAATTGAAACCAGTTTTCCATTATCCGTGTCTGACATACGCGCAGCACAGTAGAGTGATCTTATCCGTAGCCTTTTTCGATCCGCTGAGATTGTCGGCAGAAAAACACAAAGAGCCCTTTGGAGTTGTTCGGTAAAATAGGTCTGTTTCGTCTGCATTGTACGCGTTGTCATCCTCAAATCCGTTTCCAAGTTCAGACGAACAAACTTTCAGCCAATTTTCAGAGACTGCTTTATCCGCGGAACTGTTTTCGCCAATGCGCATGTGTATACACAATGTGATTTTTATGCTTCTATCATTGCAACCATCTTTCTGTGGCAGCAAAGGTTTTCCCAAGACTTTCCTCAAAATCTTCTCTCTTTTTCTTCCAAATCGAGCCTATAACCGTTTGGCTGTGCTTACGAACTGGTATCATCCAGTCATTCTTCATCATTACCACATCGCTTCCTTTTCTGAGAGCTTGCAGTGACGTGCGACAAATCGTGCCGCGATTCCTTTTCGCTGACAACCAACCTGACTAGGGTACGACGCAAAATGTGTACACCAAGCGACAACTTGTCCTGCGGGGTTCCTGGTGGTTACATTTTAATTTTCTCGAAAACCGCTAACTTTTCCTTCAAGAACAAATTCTTTTTGTTACTGGCCATACTTGTGTGTAACAATTAGACCACTGACAAATGTGGAGCAGAAATATTACCGGACTTCGCTCCGTTCTGGAGTTTTGAATAAGGCCGAATACTTGCCGACAGCTGTCTGTACAATTAGCATCCTGGTGCATTGAACGATTTAGGTAACCATTTCTTCTCTGTCAATAGCGCCGCCGAACTCTTTCTTTTTCTTGACTCCATCGAACTGGCTAGGTGTGGGGTACTCTTAATAAAAGATAGTAGTAACGGGGGGCACAAAATTGCTAAAGCGACAAGAGCACAGCTTATGCAGCTGGGAAATTAAACGGTGAGACGACTCCAACAATGGGCAATTAGACAAGAGAAAGTTAGCATATTTATGAGAAAAGAGTTTGTAGGTTGTGTAAACTGGGCTTTAAAGCCGGGCGGGTTATAAACCGGGTGGGCAATAAAGGGGAGTTCGACTGTATCAACTTGTCCCTCGGTAAAGTTTCCTTCCTCCGGCCTTTCAAATACTGGTGCATATTGCTGGAACAGTGTTTGTATCTCCGATCGTAAGGATTGATGGTTTGCTACGGAACTGGACGTTGACTGATCCAATTGCGGCCCAGTGGGTTTGGACCATCTCCAAGTGCAATATAAATGGTTTCTCGAGTTGTCGATTCTCCAGTTGACACCTCAAAGTCCTGCACCCCCAGCAGTTTCACTTCACCATCCGTATATGTACGCAATCGCAGAAGCAACCGAAACAGTTTTGTGTGGCTCGTTGGAGCCAATCTCTGTGATCACGTTCTTTCATTGTGCAGCGTTACTCCATTGCCCGTGTCAATTTCGTAATGCACTGGAAATTGGTGAACACAAAGCTGCACGCGAAATGGCGGTTGTGCACTTGGGATAGTTGTGTCAAATATATATTCCTGTGGTTCAATAGCAACAAGTTGGCTGTTTACTACTGGGGAACATGGGTTTGTACTGGACCGGAACATACGGGCCAAGTGTCCATATTTTTGGTATTTTGTTAGAAAATGCCTTTGCATGTTTGCGTTCTCTGAGAGGACTGTGCCGCAAGCGTCAGCGATAACAGCTGAATGAGCGCGTGGTGTTTTTCCCAACTTTGTTGACTTCGGCCGTGACATCTTCAGCACATGGCTTTGAATTGAGCTGGAAATTCTGTAGTAAACGGGCATTACTTTCAACAGCCTCCATGCCCGCCGCAACATCATAGTCACTTTCCAATGTCAATGCGTTATCAGTCAACAGCGAAGCTTTTTCACGCCGACCACCAGACGATCCCTGATCTGGTCGTTTCGGTAGTTACCGGAATCACAACATTCTGTCAACTTCCGAAGCTTGGCAACGAAGTTAGCAACTGACTCCCTCTCACCCTGGATTCGAGTATTGCATTGAAATCGCTGCACAATAACTAATAGTTTTGGAGTATAGTATTTAGAAAGCAGTGCAATCAGTTCAGTAAACTGTTTGGTGCATAACAAATCGGGAGTCACCAAGCTGCGAATTAACTCGCATCTTTTTGAGCCACAGATACTCAGTAGGATATTCACTTTACGGTTGTCGCTGACGAGTTCCTTAGCGGCAAAAAATAGTTCATACGCTCGATGTAATGGTTCCAAGAACCGGATCCCTCAGTGCAATCTTCCGATTTTCTGACTGAGGTCATGGCTTCGATAAGCCGTCGCCAGTATTGTACGTAAGCACAAGGCAACGCAAAGGACACATCTGTAATGTGTACACATGACAAAGTCACTGGTTCGCCAGATAACATGAACATTTATTCGCACAAATGAGTCACGTGCATGACTAGGCAAACCGTAACTAGTGATAACCAATCACAAGACTCACCTGCTCAGTTTACATATAGGATGGGGGGCAATATGTACCTCACACAGAAATTAATTGTTCCCGGGAGATGAGGAGTTGGTTTTCCTTGGATACGACTTTCTTGCTACTTGTATTATATAACGAAAAGCAGAAAGAACCCATTCTAATTTCAGTTGTGACGATGTTTGTTGCCAGTGACATGGTTCCTACGTGAGGCTGATCCAGCGTGGTTTAGTGCCGTCGTTCTATAAGATTACAAATTAATCTACCATCCAATGATGCGACATTTTTAAACCTTATCTTAGCTTTTACGTCAAGAAGCGAACGCTGCACCGAGATAGTTTTGTTTCTCCCCAAAATTTAACGCCACCCAAATAACAAGTCAATGGTAGAATCACTTAGTATAACACGACACCACTGGCTGTCTAGATATAGCGAAACTATCTGTCTGCTGTTGCCAGTAGCCACAACTATGGCACTTCTACTGGCAAAAGACAAAAAATCTGTGTACAATCACTGAGATATTTTCTTCCACCAACGTGCCGAATAAATACTACCTAGTTTGGCTAGGAATGACAGAAAATTCACAAACAGCTGAGTTATGGTCGGTCTCATTAGCATTTTGCATGTTCCACGCATTAAAAAAAGCATCCAATGGCACTTACTTCATCGTCCACTTGAGGTGCGTTGGACTTGACGACATTATCCATTTGCTGAAATCGTGGTGACGGGGGCCGATTCACTGGCTCACAAGTAACCTGGTCATTTCCAGTAATCTTTTTCGCCTGCGACATCAGTATATTCATGATCTCGCATAATCTCTCGTCTGAAGCTGCACGTACTTCTTTTTGACACGCAGGAGTGTCGACCGAAGAAATGGGGACTTCCTGGTCGCCTATGCTCAACAAGAATCGTTTCGTTCCTTCCGTATCGTAGCCCAGTACATCTGCAACGTAAATAGGCATGATGCCTGCATGCATTGATGAATTTATTATGCAGAACTGTTTCTACAAGTGTGCTGCAACCTTTTATCTTTGATGGTTCGGTTTCTGCAATCTTTTTTGCATACTCTATTTTGATTTGTATGGCACCTACAACTCTCTCAGCAGTATATCTCGACGAAGTATGCGATGGTTGGAAGCAGGTACTGACCAAACCGATATATCCAATAAGCGCCAATCGACCGCGTAGCCCTCGTTTGTAGGCCAGGCATAAGTTGCTCCCACAACTAACAACGGAACAATTGACGTTCGGCATTTATCACATACTGCCATGATAAACTATTTTAGATTGTTATGCTTGTTATCAACACAAACTTTAGTCCGTCTCGAGTTATTGCTGAGGGATCTCAAAGTTTGAACATTCGCCCTCTACCTAATCCTAATACAACCTCTGCACATACGTCTGTTTCCCAGTGCTCTAATTGCTCCTCAGTTGCCGCACTCAAAAATCCACCTAAGAAGCCATTATAATTGTCATTTATGGTGATGTCGTTAAACGACAAATGCTTGCAGAATTGCAACTAAGCACTACACTGGACAATGTAGTAGAAGTGGCCACACTTACGCCGCCACTTTAACGATCTGGGAATAAAGTGTAAACCAGATGAAGTCTAGCATGGTAAGACAGCCTATTGGAATCAGAAGTAAGCTGTGCATATATAGGGCATCAAATGAGAGCGCTACAACCTGCCGTTTCGCCGAAATACTCAGTGCAGCACAGCGTCAGGATTTTGACAACGATGGTAAGATTGGCCTAATTGAAAGCGATTATTTTGCCAGTTCCACCTGAAAGCACAAGTTCCAGAATGAAACACATACATCCGCTTTCATGTGAGACTTGAACTTAAACCTAGTATAAGGTCAATTTGCTAGCAGGTATATTAACTCTTTTGGGATTCGCTTCCCGCTCAGTTCAAAAACATTTGGCATACAAACACCCGGAATCACTAGTCTTCCTGAGTTTGATATATGGGTTACTGAGTCGGATAAACAGTCTCCAATGCTTAAAATAGATTTTCAGTAAGCGAACAGAAACCTTTTCAAAAATTCTCATCAGAACTGTGATAAAAATAATCCGGTAATACCGTGTGCTGTTAAAAGCCGGTTGAAGGCTGCTGCTGTTTGAACTGGACCAGTAAATTGAATCAAAACAGGTCGACTCATTGGGAGCAGCAATCGTAGTCTACGGTACGCTGCCATCGTCTGACATTAATGAATTGCCATGAGGCAAAATTTAGAGGAGGGATTTCACAATGGCCGTATGCTTACACAATTCAGGCTGGATCAGTCTGATATGGGTTGCCACAGCCGTTTTCAGTAATCGTTTTCCAAGCGCTATTGGATAACGTAGTGTCAGGGAGTAGAAAACATAGAACACATCGGTTATCCCGAGTTAGTGTCCATTTAGTAGCCAATACTTCATGAAAAAGCTATTGATTCTTCCAACCGGTCCTCTACCCCGGTATGAACCCCAACCATTGACAGCCCTGCATGTGTGCACATGTTACACATTCAAATATTATCCATCCCTTGTGTGCACGAGCTACACACCAAAGGAAGTTAGAACCGCAGTAGGCATGACAGGTACGCCAGTCATAAACTTGTTGATTACTTGAATTTTGGCTTTCGATTTAGTACGTTGACGAGTTTACCCAACCCCGGTAGCTGTTCTCTGCTCCGACTGCAGAAAAGTAACTGGTGGATCCCAGCCATCTACGTTACGGCAGCAGATGGGGTTTTTGAGTACATTCGATGCTGTACAATAACCGCCAGGTACCTGCAACACACATTTTCGAAGCTTCCACAGGGTGAATTTCGGTCGAGAATAACCCAGAATAATCAAGCGTGAATTATATTAAATGCCGATTTCGCTACCCGGGTACAGTGTTCTACAGTTATTCGCCTCGCCCCAATCGGACAGGAATGGTAAACACGTCTATCCGTTGGTGGAAGACGGTTGTTGATTTCATTGTGAGCATACAGCCAGTGATCCATACAGTGACCATAGGTGCACCAATTAGACATAGCGAACACTCGATGTTGCTTTTCCGTTACCACTGCTAATCTCAGTACAGCAGTGAGAAGAACGATGAAACCTACGTCAGCACGCATTCTAGTATCCCGTCCGATCTCATTACAGAAACCGACTGGTCCTTCCTAAGCGAGCAGCCCCTCACTGTCGCTTGGATGGTGCTCTTCACCCTATTCACCAGCCTAGTTGCAATGGAGTTTGAAAGCGAGGTCTTTGTCCGATGTCAATGAAACCCCTCCTTAGGAAATTCCCCGTAGCTCAGTGGTCTGTCCCCCGTAGCTCAGTGGTCTCAACCACGGACTGGCAACAGTCGATTTGCGGGTTCGAGCCCAACCAGGGCCCGATGGAATGCGCAATGCTGACGATTCCCGAAAGGATGAAACACGCGTACAGTGCTTTTCCGGGCGTGTGACGGCTGTCTGAGTGAGCCTAGATGTGATGAATTTCATCCTATAACATTCAACTCTCCCTACTACTCTTCTGCAAACATCAATAACCTGGAACCTGCATCTTTCTTGACATTTGACATCGTGTGACACCCTGCCGTGCGGCCGCACTTTAACTCGTCTCTCGCTTTGCCCTCTGTGGCGACTCCAATTCTCCCCACACAATATTGTGCTTGCGCTCGTTCGAACCAGTTCGACGAGCTCTATTCAGTGCTTTCCATCTCCTGGATCTAACCTGTGTGGATTACACTCTTGCTCCAGTTCCCAGTTTTCGGCATATTCTTTGCCGAATTTCACTTGTGAAACTACATCAAACCGGTCTTTCGGAAAAGATTTTGGTCTCATTCGGAAGAAGAAGTTGTGGACTCCCCAACTACGCGGCAACCATCCCTGTAAGTTGCAGCATAACAAACTTACAGCCTTTTTGCTCCGCTCGTCAACTGACCAGCTCTAAGGACGGTTATCAGCGCTCCACACGCTGCCGCTTTGTGTGGGTGTGTGTACCACTGCGAGTCGATTGATCGCTGAATCCGACAGTCTGCGTGTTACGACTTCCACCTGCCTCCGCCTGACCTTGGTTCGTGTGTGTGTTCTGACCTGTTTCTGCGTCACCCCTAGCGCAAAGTACACTTATCAAGGTGAGCGCTAAGATAGGCTTTGCATTCCAATGGTTCCACGTCGCCTATGTTGCGCAGACAACTGCAGTAAACTGCTTAAGATCAGTATTACCTGTTCTGGCTGCATTAGATCATACTGTCCGCAATGTGTAGGCAAATCTGTCCAAGAAGTGAGACAGACAAACCAAGTTGCTGACACAATTTGGTTTTGCCCAACATGCCAAGTCATTCCAGTGGTCAACTGCTTATCCTTGCTCATGAAAAAATGCGATAGGATGACTGAAATAATCGCGCAATTTGTAAATACTAAGATCCCTCCCCCGGAGGTAAATACGGCCATGATAATATCTCACCCGACCAAAGTAAGCTCTGAGTCGAAACCGAAGAAAAGATCTAGACGCTCCAACAGCACTCTACTCCTTTTTCTCGTGTCCTAAACCGCATTTTCTGTAGATGCCGTACTCGGATCTGAGAAATAGCTCTTAACAAATCGGAAGCTTTGTACATCAGCCACATAAACTGGGGGAAAATTCGATCTCAACGTATGAACTCTTAAGTTGTCTTGACCTTTAAGCATCGGCATGTGTCAAACATTGGAAGCAATTGACCATGGCTAGCAGTGGCTGCCGATCGTCTTTCCCCTGTTATGGGATTTAAGTATGTGCTGAATGTAATTTTTTATGTGATTCTCCTCAGTGAGTTTCATGTTGCGCCTCAAGCGATGCGTCCTTGCATCCTTCCGCGCGTGTTGAGCGGAACTTTTCATCAGCGTGTGTACGTCTGCGATGCATATGTTCTTTGGATCAAGGTTAACTAGCGAATTAACATTTTTGGACATCTTACGCTTACTTAAATGCTCAAATTTTTCCCCTCAATATATGTCGAGGTGTGAATGCACGGTGCGACCAAGTGTTCGCCGGATTTGTGCATGCAAGGTTGATATAGCTGGTTGACGAAAATATTGGTTATTCGGTTACAAGTGTACCGCCGCCATAATTACTATCTTAAAATTGGTATCCTGTTAACTCGCAGGCACAGAAAAACTATACAAATTGGCTACAGATTGTCCAAAACCAATAACTAGCACTGGAATCCAAGGTTGTGTGTTATGCGCGCTTTTATTCTTAATTTATACAACTAGCCTGTATGACCAAATGTTAATTGGAATGCCTCTCCTATTCGCCACCGATATCAAAATCCTTAACTGTTTCGACCGCTCTCAAGGGGGTATCGATACAGCCTGCCTTCAATGCGATATGAACTTGTTAGGTACTTGACTGCTGATACGGTCGGTTCCAGCCAGCCCACATTGAGTTAGCTGGTGCGGATCAAAAAGGGCAGACCTTCATGTAGTCAACTTACAACTGCGTGAAGTAATAAGCTGTGTAAGGAAAAAGCCTAAACGGCGGTAACCGTTGAAGTGTATACAAAACGCACGATACAGAATGCGTAGCCATTATGTTTCAAGAATAAACACGGCATAAAACTCGTAAGTACGCCACCAGAGAGTTGCTGCTAAATCTAAACCCAGCCGTTTAGAAGGTGTGCAAAATCTCTGGAACTAACCAGCAGTCAATCACTGACAACCATCCTATGTCTTCAACAAGTAATGACTGTGCTTCTGATGCATAACGTAACCATCCACTGCAGCGTACCGTTACTTTTATCTATAAACCTTTATCTAGTTTTCGCAACGAGGTTATACATATAAGCCAACTGTCTGTGTCCACTGCCTGTCTGTGGCTATACAAGTCACAATGAGAAGGGTAAATATCCTCTCTATTAAGCTGTTTTAGCAGACCACATTGGAGAATCTCCAATCAATTCTCAGGCAAACGTTCCTGTCACCC